CCTTCCTCTGGTCCAGAACCTTCCTCTGGTCCAGAACCTTCCTCTGATCCAGAACCTTCCTCTGGTCCAGAACCTTCCTCTGGTCCAGAACCTTCCTCTGATCCAGAACCTTCCTCTGGTCCAGAACCTTCCTCTGACCCAGAACCTTCCTCTGATCCAGAACCTCCATCTGGTCCAGAACCTTCCTCTGTGATCCAGAACCTTCCTCTGGTCCAGAACCTTCCTCTGGTCCAGAACCTCCATCTGGTCCAGAACCTCCATCTGGTCCAGAACCTCCCTCCCTCAGAACCTCCCTCCAGAAATCCCAATCTATGATCTTTTATTTATTTGTATAATACAGCTACAAATAAATATTTCAACCCTGAGAAAATAAATCTTAATATTTGTTCCAGTAGCCTTAGTTTCCAGAGGTCAAAGGTTTCCTGTAGTTTTTCCAGCAGGTTTGCTCACACTGCAGGAGGGATTTTGGCCCACTCCTCCACACAGATCTACTCTAGATCAGTCAGATTTCTCGCAAAGATTCTCTATTGGGTTTAGATCTGGAGACTAGCTAGGCCACGCCAGAACCTAGATCTGCTTCTTCCAGAGCCGCTCCTTGGTTATCCTGGCTGTGTGCTTCGGGTCATTGTGATGCTGGAAGACCCAGCCTCCACCCATCTGTAATGCTCTAACTGAGGGGAGGAGGTTGTTCCCCAAAATCTCCCAATGCAGTCACCCTGTCCCATGTGCAGAAAAACTCCTCCAAAGCATGATGCTTCCACCCCCATGCTTCACTGTAGGGATGGTGTTCTTGAGGTTGTTCTCATCATTCTTCTTCCTCCTTAAGCAGGGGAACCTTCAATGCCATGCATGATTTCAGAGAACAGTAACCATAGAAACGGTGGTCCTAGCTGTATTTAGGTCATTTAGCAGCTCCTCCAGTGTAGTTCTGGACATAGGATCATTGAGACCCCACCATCATTGAGATCCTGCATGGAGCCCTAGTCTGAGGGAGATTGACAGGTTTGTTTCTGACCCACTCTGCATGGCGCGTTTCTGACCCGCTCCGCCTGGTCCGTTTCTGACCCGGTCCGCCTGGTCCGTTTCTGACCCGGTCCGCCTGGTCCGTTTCTGACCCACTCCGCCTGGCCCGTTTCTGACCCGCTCCGCCACACTATTATTTGCCATAGTGTCTGGTATGTAAGGAGGCCACCCAGGCCTCTGACCACGGCTCTGATGGCTGCTCTCTGCCCCTGCAGGTAGTAAGGAGGCGGCCTTCACCTACGCCATCATGGCCGCCGGTGTAGCCCACGCGGTGGCGGCGGCCTGCTCCAGAGGGACGCTGAGCGGTTGCGGTTGCGACCAGGAGAAGAAGAACAGTTACAACCAGGAGGAGGGTTGGAAGTGGGGCGGCTGCTCTGCTGACCTCCGCTACGGCCTGGCCTTCTCCAAGGTCTTCGTGGACGCACGGGAGGTCAAGCAGAACGCCAGGACGCTTATGAACCTGCACAACAACCAGGTGGGCCGCAAGGTAAGGATGAGGACCTGTTAACTGTTAGATGGGTTATTGTTCATTCATTCATTCATTCATTCATTCATTCATTCATTCATTCATTCATTCATTCATTCATGTCTTTACTTTAAGCTTCAGAGTCAGTCTGTATGTGGTTCCT